TTCCTTAATGCTTTGCTGCTTAGAAATTTCTTCCACCAGGGCCGGCCTGCTGGCGCACTGCTACAGTGCACCACTTGGGAGCGCAGCGGCGCTCCCACTGAGGGTTCGGATCCCACATACAGACCGGCCACTCACTGGCTGAGCGAGGTGCGGGTGCAACACCGAGGGTTGCGATCCCGTTGCCGGTCCCGGTCCAGTACGGGCGCGACACTGAGGGTTGCGATCCGTTGCCGGTCACGAAAAAAGACAAAAAGGAAAAAAAAAAGAAATTTCTTCCACCAAATACTCTGGGTCAGCGCCTTGAAGTTCCACATTCCATAAAATTTTTAGGCATGAGCAGAATGCAGCCAAGTTCCTTGACAGTTCATAGCAAGGATGATTTTTTCCCCCATTTCCCAAAAAAACCTCCTTCTTATTACTATCTGAAACCTCCTTGGAATGGTCTTCACAGTCCATATTTCCATAAGCATTCTGTTCACTACCATTTAAAGTATCTCTAAAACATTTCAAACTTTCCCTGGTTTTCTTGTCTTCTACACTTTCACCAGCATCTAGGCTTTTTCTAGCCTATTCCTCCAAGTTCTTCCAGCCTCTCCTCAACATTCAGTTCCAAAGCTGCTTTCACATTTTCAAGTATAAGTAACACCCCACTTCTCTGGTACAAATTTTTTGCATTGGTCCATTTCTGTTGCTTATAAGAAAATATGCAGAACTGGGTATTTTATAAAGAAAATGAAATGTATTGCTTACAGTTTCAGAGCCTGGGAAGTCCAAAGTCCAGGGAACACATTTGGTGAGGGCCTTTATAGAGGTGACAGTGACCCAGGGGTCTCACATAGCAGAAAATGGCAGAGCAGAGACTAACTTCTCATGTGCTCTTCTTTTAAAGCCCTCAGAACCACGCCCATGACCATTATTATTAATCCATTCACTGGGCATGGTCCTACAATTTAACCACCACTTCAAGGCCCCACTTTTAATAGGATTTCCCACCCTCCCCCATTAAACAATGAGGATTAAGCCTCAGTGAAGTTGGGTGACCATCCAATCTACAGCAACTCCTACCTTTAAGTTTATTAATTCTTTCCTCAACTATATTGAGTCTACTAATGGGCCCAATGAAGGCATTCCTCATTCCTATTACTGTTTTTATTTCTATAATTTCCATTTTATTCTTTCTTACAGTTTTCATCTATTTTCTAAACTTACCTATCTGAGCTCACATGTTGTTTACCTTTCCCTTTAGGGCCTTCACCATATTAATTATAGTTACTGAAAATTTTCTGTCTGATAGTTCTAATATGTACGTTTTATGAGTCTGGTTTTAATGAATGCTTTGCCTTTTCAGACTGTTTTTTTTCTTGCCTTTTTGAACGTTCTTTTTTTCTTTTTTTGTTAAAAGCTGGATATGTTGTATAGACAGATATTGAAGTAAATATTTTTATGCTTGGAGATCAGTGTGCATTTACTTCTCCTAGACCTTTTGTGCATAATGGTGGTGAGGTTGTGTCAATCTAGTCAGGAGTAGGGCTAGGTCTAAAGTTTGTTGTTGCCATGGTTACCCTAAGCACTACAGGTTTCAGATTCCTCTAGGGATAACCTCTGTGTAGGGTGTGGGTTTATCTCAACAGCAGGTATGTTTTCAAGAAGTCTGTATGGGTGCCAAGTTGATGAGGGGTGAATAGTGGTTGGTGAATAGTCAACATAATGTGTTGACTTTGCTAAATCGAAGTATATTTCCTAAAATTTCCTTTCCTGTTTGGTTTTGGTTAGAGTTGGCCAAAAAGGACAAGTTTTTGTAGGTTTTGGAGGACAAAATGAAGCAGCCCACCAGTTTTACACTCAAAAGGGCTGTGCAGGGGCACTAGGTGCTATTGTAACTCATGCAGTTTGTCACTTACGAACTTGTTGGCCTGGGGAAGCAGTCTTTCCTTTGTTGATCCTTCCCCTTCTTTGATTCCTGAGCCAAGTGTATGTTTAGCCCTGTAGCAAAGGGTGTCACTTCTTTTAGCAGGGATACACACATCTTCAAAGTTGGACATGGTGAAAGATGACAAGCTCCTGGTGTAGGTTCCAGTTCATTCTTGCTCTTTCCTACTTTATGTTTTTGTTTTGTTTTGTTTTGGTGTCTGGCCAGTATGGGGATCTGAACCCTTGACCTTGGTGCTGTCAACACCATGCTCTAACCAACTGAGCTAACTGGTCAGCCCCCCTACTTTGTTAACCTTCCCTTTTCAATTGCTTGCCTTACAAACTTAAAATCATAGTGATCTGTTTCTCTGATTGAACCTTGGCTGATAAACAGATGTACAGACATTTTGTGAATTAGGAGAGAATTGTGAATTAGGAAGTCTTAATTTTTCTCAGTAAAGAAGGAAAGTCATCTCAGGAGCATGTCAGGACAAAAGACATAAAAGATTTAAATGATTATTGTGAGGAGGTAAATAATTCAGAGGAATGCAGAGACTTCCCGCCCAATATATGGGCAGACAGACAGACACACACTCGCACCACAAACACTCATGATAAACATCAGTAACTGATAAGAGCACTCCTCCCTGCTTAGTCCATATTTAAGACTCAGATTCCTTCTCAAAAGTATTCTAATTTTTTAAAAATGCACTTATTAGTTGCATAATTTAAACATTTTAAAAATAGATATTCTGTGGAACTGTTGTCAACAATCCCAAAAGAGATCTCTGGAACCCCCTTTTCAAATAATCCAGTCATACATTCAGTAACTACTTACTGAGAAAGTTATGGGAAAGGCAGTATTTGATATTGGGAAATGACAGGAATGAAAAATGTGCTAAATTAAATAAGCAGGAGCCCATTAACCTGACGCTGTCTTACTTCAAGTTCCTATACAGCAAACTGCAACCTAACTTAGTATATTTTTAATAGCAAACAGCCAAGTTTCATCCAATCAAAAACAGCTGAGCTTCAGCCAATAACTGGCAGCCAACTGATCAGACCATACCCAAATAAGACAAAGCCTCATTATAGGATAGCCAAATAAGGCAGACACATAGATGTAACCAATCAAGTGATTTCTTTACTTTGCCTCCTATAAAAACTAGCTGCTCACACTGCTGGGAAGAGCTCTCTGAACCTCTTCTGGTTCTGAGTGTTACCCGATTCATGAATTGTTCTTTGCTCAAATAAATTCTGTTAAATTTAATTGGTCTAGAGAAAAGGAATAAAGTGGGAAGAATCAAAAGCAAAGCAATTCAGAAATGCAAGATCAAAAATCACTGAAGGAAAGTAGATAATTCCCTGAAACAGGCAAGCATACATATCATTTGTTGAAAGCCTCCATGGATGTTTTTGGGGAGCAAAATGCTTGCTATTCTTCAAGGTGGGTACTGTTACATAAAAATTATCAAGGCCATTGTTTTGGACTAAGTTCCTGCACTAGGCCCCAAAAGACAAGACTAAATGTCGAAATGGAGTCACCCCTGCTAAGTTCCACATCACTTAGGCTGTGGCATGGCCCTCCTAGAAGTCAGGAGAAAGAAAAAAGTCCATTTCTAAACAAGGCAGTTTTAATCTTCAATGGGTATGATAATGAAGTTCTCTCTGCTTTAATCCTTACCCAAAAAAGACAGCCTGGAGTAACCTGATGTTAACTAAACAGGCATTTTCCTATTGTTCTGTCTCCCTGTCCCCACCCTATAAGGAAAGTAACTTTGACCAATCCACTTTTTAATAGATCTGCAACACAACCAGCACCACTTTAGACAAACCCAAGTACAAAATGGCACTGCCACCTCCTCCCCTCCCCCCTTCCCTTTATGAGAAGCCTCCTGACTTAAACAGAAACCCCTTTTCCACCCTGATCCACATTAGCATAATGGCCCTCCTTGATGGTATCAGCCAGCCCTTGGTGCACTATATAAGCTCTACTACCCCCACATCTGGTGCTGTCCCCATTTTCAGGGCAGCGCCGGGCTACCTGCCACTTTGAGCACAGCCCGGCAGATTTTCTTCCTTTAATAAAGCTTGAACGGTACCTGGCATTTCGGCTCACTTTCTTTTACTTTTGTTCTTTGTTTCTGCTTTCTTCATCCCTTTCTGTCTATAAAGCCTCCGTTATTTGTAAAAAAAAAAACTTTGGAGCACTGCTCTTACTCTGTGTCTAATGGTGCTTCCTGGCTTGATCTTCTTATTTGGCTCCCAATAAACCTTATGAAGTTACTTCTACCTGGACAGCCTTGATTTTGGTTGACAGTACCAAAAAGGCAAAGTATCTGTGAGCCTCCAAATCCTAACCACTCCCACCTAAAAAACTTGACATCCTTCTCACCCACTCTTCTGATCCCATCAGATCTTTCACAGTGTCCTCACAACAGATACAGCTTCAGCTCCACTCTCCAGGCATTGCTTTCACACCTTGGTCTTGACCTCCTCAGGTAGGATGATCAGGAACTGCTCCTGCCTAGCATCTTAGGTGACAGCCAGTCATAGCAGACCATCCTGAGTTGACTTAGGGCTACCCACAGCCCCCAGACCTCCTGAGAGTTGAACCACCTAAAATACTGGTGGGAACTCTCAAATCTGGGGAAGATCATCTAACCCCAAACTCTCTTCCCCTAACTTAACTATTAGAAAGAACCTCTATCTGCACTGGGTGTGTCCCAAGCTCTGAGAATAGGCTTCCTCTAACAGGCGTGTTTCTCACATGCTTGGGAAGAGAGGGAAATTAAGGTGGCAGGATGATCAGATAGCTCTTCAGCAACCTATGAGACTGAACACTTCCTTTCCTGATTGCCTCGCCAAAATTTCGTTCTCCAGTTCCCCCGAGTACTCAAACACCCGAAGAGCTGGTGGACCTTTGTAGGGGCAGTTGAAAATCCTGCCTTTCTAGGAGCTCAACTAGACCTTAAGGCCAGGGGCCGAGAACAGGTTCCTCTCCCTGCGGCATGAGGCTGAACAAAAAAAGGGAAGTCTTCAGGGAGCGCAAGCCTAATGGGCACAGCTCCTCTTTAGTCAAACTGCAGGCCCAGCTGCACAGACCCCCGTAGCCCAGAACTCCTTCTTGGGCTGCAACTCGCCTAGGACTCCCGAATTTAAATCAGCCCACGCGGCGGACGAACACAGCTCTCACGCCTCTAACTTGAAGGACAGGCCAAGATTGGAAGCACCTCTCTGCTTGGTTCCACCAGAGGCGGCACAGTCGCCGCACTCCTGTGCCTTGCCCACACCCCAGGCTTCTGACGTCCTGCTAGATTTCCCCGAGGGGGATTTCCGCATCTCTATGGTCGTTTGGAGGAGCCGCCCACCGTCCCGTCATGCCCCGCACTCAGGCCTACGCCAGTCGCTTCTGTCCTGCGCGAAACCCAGCGGCTCCTAGGCCCGGCTCTCCGCTCCCCCGCGCACTGGGGGGAAGGGGCACTGTTGGGGTCGGGTTTGGGTCCCCTGAACACTGGGAGAGAGGCAGTCTGCCGGCCCCTCCCGCGCCTCCCGTTGGACCCCGGCTCTGCGGTAGAGAGGCGGCATGGAAGCCGAGGACCTCCAGGAGGACCTGACCTGCTCCATCTGCCTGGACTATTTCCAGGAGCCGGTGTCCATCGAGTGCGGCCACAACTTCTGCCGCGAGTGCCTGCACCGCAGCTGGGAGCCGGGCGGCGGCCCGTTCTCCTGCCCCGAGTGCCGACGGCCGTCGACGCCCGCCGCGCTGCGGCCCAACTGGGCGCTGGCCAGGCTGACGGAGAAGACGCGGCGCTGGCGCCTGGGCCCCCAGTCCCCGGACTTGTGCGGCCGCCACCGGGAGCCGCTGCGTCTCTTCTGCGAGAACGACCAGCGGCCCGTGTGCCTGGTGTGTAGGGAGTCCCAGGAGCACCAGGCCCACGACATGTCGCCCATCGACGAGGCCTTCCAGAGCTACCGGGTGAGCCGGCCGTCGCGGCCATCGTCACAGGACTGCCGTTGTTGCCCGAGAACGTTTGCTTAGTTCTCATAAACGACCCGCGAGGTGGCTGTCATTCCTATTGGAAGCATGAACCCCCCCCCCCCCCCCCCCCCCCCCCCTCAAAGGAGTTAAGCGACTGGCAGAGCTCCGAGCTAGGATTAGAATTGGGATTAGGGGAGGGGCGGTGCAAGCCTCAGCGATCATTATGCAGAATTTTCAAGGGGCTGGCCCCTGGGGAGCACCTAGTTAAGGTAAAAGCATACCGAGATGTTTACCAGTGCTATCCGATAGAAGTGTAATGTGAACCACATACTCATATAATTTAAAAATTTTCTAGTAGTACAAAAAAAAGGTGATGTTAATTTTAATAATATATTCTATTTAACCCAATTAGCCAAAATATTATCATTCAGGGTTAGTTGAGATGAAAATTATATTTTACTTTTTTTTTTTTTCATAATAGGTCTTTGAAATCTGTGTGTATTTTATACTTAGAGCAGAAATCACTTCGGACTATCCCCATTTCAGGTGCTTGCATGGCTAATGGGTGCTGTATTGGGCAGTGCAAGACTATGCCTATAGATGTCATAGACAGCTAATGATTTGGGAAAAGCCTGGTGTGGAGTGTTGAGGCTGGGTTTTGTTATTAGCTTCCTTTATCAGTTGCGAAAGTAACACTTGAATTTGGGGATTATCTGTCCCATCTTACCGGGGTAAGCTTCAGTTGAGTAACTCAGTTTACCTTACTCTGCTCCAGCTACACTGGCTTTCTTGCTTTTGTTTCAAGTCTGTTCTCTTTCTCTACCCATACCTCCCATCCTTTAGATCCTTTTAGCTTTTAGCTTGAAGACTTTCTTTGATCATCCTTTCCAGAGTAGCCCCACCCTTTTCGGGGTGTAACTACAGTGGTCTCCAACAGAATTCATATTCAGTAAGTACACGGATACATGAATTTAATGACACGCTAATAGTGTTTTATAAATGTAAAATGCTGTACAGTTTAATCAACTAAATATGAACAGGAAACAAGTGCAAAGCCAGACTAGAAAGTGTACATTTATTTCTTTATCCAGTAGCTTTTATAGGTGCTTACTGTGTGCCAAGCATTGATGTAGAATCTAGAAAAAATTGATGAGAAGGACGTGGGCCTTGTTCTATAAGGGAAATAAGCATGTAGAACGTTAACTTCAGTGCATGTGAGAGTTGTTAAAGTATGTACCGAGTACAGTACACAGGAGATCTGAGGTCGGAGTGTTGGGTGAGGAGTGAGGAAAGGCTTCAGACAGGAGTGAAACACGAGTTAGCTCTGTTTTTTCTTTTTTGGCGGCTGGCCGGTATGGGGATCTGAACCCCTGATTTTAATGCTTAGTGTTATCAGCACCACTGCTGTAACCAAGTGAGCTAACAGGCCATCCTGTGAGTTAGCTCTTGAAGGGTGAGTACAGCAAGGTAGGGGAGAGGATGTTTCAGGCCAGAGGAACAGCATATTCGACATGTGGCATGGAATAGCACGTGATGTGTGAGAGGACTGGAGACTGCTCAGTACTTCTGGAGTGTGAAGCACAGGAGGGAGGCTGGTGGGAACTGAGGTTGAAGAAAGAGGCAAGGGCCATGTCATGAAGGTTCTTGTTGACCATACTAAAAAGATTGAGCTTTCTCTTTCAGGCAGTGGAGACTCTTTAAAGGGTTTTAAGACAGGGAATTATATGACCAGTTTTTTTTGTTTTAGAAAGATCACTTTGGCATACATGTGGATGAATGGAAGAGAAGACCAATTTGGCTGCTGTTGCACTACTTTAAGCAGGAGATAAGAGCCTGAATTAGTGCAGGGCAGGGGTGATGGAGAAGAGGCAGTGGATTAAACATGAGCTGGAGGTGCATGGGTGGGTGACCAATTCGAATTGGTGGGTAAGAGAGAGAAGAATCTAGGATGGTAGTCCAGATTTCTGGCTTGGATGTCAGGTAGATGATTGTGGGGTTAACCAAGATAAGGTACATAGGAGGAAGAGTAGGCTTAGCACAGAAAATGCTTTGTTCATTTTGGGACATGTTGAATATGAAGTAACTATGACAAGAAGGCTAAGGAAGAGGGACAGCAGGCGGGCACCTAGAAGGCCAGAGACACAATATTTTAGAATTGTTAGCTTATCCTTGAAGTCAGAAGAAGTAAGTAGATGAGATTCTTCCAGAGAGACCACATAAAGGGTAAAAAAAGATGGGTATGGAGAGAAGCTTGGAAAACACCAATGGTTAGTAGCCAGCAAAAGGGATGAAGGGACCCATCAGAGAAATGTGAGGGAAGATACATGTGTGCGTGAGGGCTGAGGAAAAGATAAGTGGATGGGAGTTAAGGGGGTATAACCCTTAAATCTTCAGTAATAATAATAGTTTTAATAATAGCTGTCAGTTATTGATTACTTCTTATGTACCACCCAAAGTTCTAAGTGCCTTTCATATTGTTATTCTTAGTCCTCATAGCAACCCTATAATTAGATGAATTCTTTTATCTCCTCTTTGCAGATGAGGCAACTGAGGCACAGAGATGTGAGATAACTTGCCAAGATCACAGAGCTAGGAAGTGACTAAACTTAAACCAAGGTCCTCTAACTCCTAAGTCATTGCACTTTTCACTGTGCCACAACTAATCCAAGAAGACTTTTTGGAAGAGGTGGGATTAAACAAAATGGTCCAACAGGCTGGGAGTGAGTGGGTAAGGGTAGCATTGGGGTAGGCTGAATGCAGAAGGTTGGCTGGGCAGGTGTTCAGGAGTTGAGTCATTAGGCAGAACTCCCCAGTATCTGCCCTTCTCTGCCTAGTCCTTGCTCCATTTATCCATCTCTTACTCTATCCCTGCCCCAAGTTAGTTAGAAAAACATTAAGTTGCTCTTGGGGGGAGCTACACTGTTTTCAAGCATCCCATTCCTAGCACATACTAGGATGGGTGGACTCTGTCTTAAAAGTTGGACAGTTGGAAAAGTCAGGAGTTCCCTAAATCCATGGAAAATATCCCCATCCTCTGTCCATACCTGAGCCCTGCAAACAGTGTGCCAGAAGCTTCCTCTGAGGATCTGAGCCCCTGAGCACTGCATCCAGGAAACTTGCTTTGGTGAATTCTTAGAACACCCTGCTTGCTGTCTTGGGTCATGCCAGTGGCTCAAGATACACATTAGGACCACCACAAAAGTGCCTTGGGGTACTTGTAAGAAATATCAAACCAGGGCCCCACCCCAGGGATTTTGATTCAGTTGGGGGGGGGGGGGGTTGACGTCAAAAAAGTTCTCTAAGTAATTCTAATGTACGGATAGGATAGAGAACCATGGTGCTACATCATCTTAGTACTTTCATGGAGGGAAATTTCAATTTAAAAATCTTTCAGAACAAGTGTTTTTAAGAGACTCATTCATGGCAGGGAGAGAAAAAGAGCTTCATGAACCTCAGGATGCAAATAGTTTGCATGGTAAAGTCTTCCAGACACAGCTCTTCTTTCCCTGATGCTAATATTTAGTCTTCTGATTCTAGGAGCTAAGCTTTAACAAATACTGAGCACTGGTGTTGTGTCAGACACTGCACTACGGTGTCAGACATAGCACTGAGAATACAATGGTGAACAAGACAGATAAAGACTTTCCAGGGAAAAACAAAACTAATAGGAATAAATAAGAAAGAGATTTAAAAAAAAAAAAGACTTTCCAGGGAGCTCATGGTGTAGTTGGGCTGGGGTTGGTAGGTAGTTAATAGACAAAAAATGAAATAATCACACATTTGATGTGTGCTGTGAAAGAAAGTGCTGTGCCAGACAAGTAGCCAGGGGCTTTAATAAGGTGAACAGAGCCTTCTCTGGAGATTTGACATTTCAGTTGAGACTTGATGGTTAAGGAGTCAGCCATCTGAGGAGCTGTGGGATAAGCATTTTAGGCAGTGGACAGAAAATGTGCAGACCCTGAGGCTGACGAGAGTTGGATATATTTATGGAACTGAAAGGTCTGTGAGCCTGGAGCATCCTAAGTAGCTTGAGAAGAGATGCCAAATGTAGGCCAGGGCTGAATTATGTGGGGCCATAAGAAGGTGTTTGAATTTCCTCGGTGAGGTGGAAAACCAATGAAGAATCTTCAACAGGGGAGTGACATGATCTGATTGGTGTTTAAAAAGATTATTCTGGCTGCTGTGTGGATATTGCATGAGAGAAGGACAAGACTGCTAGTAGGGAGACAGTCAGGAGGTTATTGTCGTTGTCCAGACAACAGACTTACAAGTGTCTTACACCAGGAGGTGGCAGAAGGGTGGCAAGTAGGCAGATCTGAGGTGTATTTGGAGGTGGACCTACCTGCTTGGATTGAGTGCAGAAGTAATAATGACTGAAGTTCACAGAACTTAAGAGCTGGGATGGTATTTAAGAGACCATTTAGTCTCTTTGTCTGCATTTAATAGGTAAGGAAGCTGAGACCCTGGAAATGTGTGAAGCTGACTTGGTCACAGGTACACAGCTAGTTTGTGAAGGTCTAGACTAAACTCAGATCTTCTGATTTGAAGTTTAATGTTGTTTGAACTATCTGAACACAAGTTAGTAAATATCTTCACTCTGAATGTTTGCCTTTTTGTTAAACCTGTGTTTTCATATACATACATTTTCTGATGTTAAATGAAGAGAAAGTAAAATTTTAACTTCGGTACCTCTAACCCCACTTTGAAATGTTTGGTGTTGCCCTCCTGCCACCTTGTGGCAGTGCCTGTTGTTGCAGGGAAGGTGGTTTTTTTTTCCTTTTTGTCTTTTTTTACTGACCGGTAACGGGATCGCAACCCTCGGTGTCACGCCCATACCGGGGACCGGCAACGGGATCGCAACCCTCGGTGTTGCACCCGCACCGCGCTCAGCCAGTGAGCGGGAACTGGTCTCCACATGGGATCCAAACCCTCGGCGGCGCGCTCCCAAGCGGCGCACTCTCCAGTGCGCCACCGGGCCAGCCGGAAGGTGTTTTTTAATCTCTGCAGAGTTGCCAGGTTTACTCGGGTCCCATTTAGATCCCAGCTGTGGAAGAATTCTAAAAGACTTAGGTAGAGTCTTGGATAATAGAACCATACAGATCATTTATGCATACTGGAATTGTTAAAGGGATTTTTTAAAAATGGAAAATCTCTATTTAAAAGATTTTTTTTTCATTATCAAACAAAAGTGAAAACTTAAAAAAACTTGGTCATATTTAAAGGTGCTGTATATCTCATTGCAAGTCTCATATGCATCAAATTTGACAATGATCACAAAGTGCCAGTTATAATTGAATTAAGGAATAAAATTACATGAGATAGCTTATTGAGTAGCAGGGTTATATACCTATTTAAGTTAACCGCTAGAGGTAGTAAATAGATTATATTACGTTAGGAAAAATTATGGTAGAAAGAAAATAGCACAGATGCTCTTGTGACTGTGTGTGTGTGTGTGTCACTGGCCGGTAAAATTATATAGAAAGAAAATAGCACAGAAGCTCTTGTGACTGTGTGTGTGTGTGTGTGTGTGTGTGTGTGAGTGACACCGGCCGGTATGGGGATCTGAACCCTTGACCTTGGTGTTATAACACTGCTCTAATCAACTGAACTAATAGGCCAGCCCGATCTTGTGACATTTAACAGAACTATATAAAATCCCGTTTATAATCTAATCTTATTTTTCCCCAACATTTTTTTTTTTTTGTCTTTTTTCGTGTCCGGCAACGGACCGCAACCCTCAGTTTCGTGCCCGTACCGGACCAGGACCGGCAACGGGATCGCAATCCTCGGTGCTGCGCCCACCCCTCGCTCAGCCAGTGAGCGGGAACTGGTCTGTATGTGGGATCCGAACCCTCGGCAGGAGCGCCACCGCGCTCCCAAGCGGCGTACTGTAGCAGTGCGCCACCGGGCTGGCCCTCCCCAACATTTTGGTATGAAATTTTCAAACATATATCAGAGTTGGAAGAATTTTATGATAATACCAACATATCACATCTAGGTTCTACCATTAACATTTTACACTGCTTGTTTATCACATAGCCCTCCATCTGCCTATATCCTCTCTATCCATCAATTCTTATTTCCTTTTGAAGCATGTTAGAGTGGTATTATAACACAAAGGTCAAAGGTTCAGATCCCTGTACTGGCCAGCCGCCAAGAAAAAAGTCAATTGCAAACAAAATACTTTAGCATGTATATCATTAACCACATTCAGTATTTGTTTATGGTATGTTTTGAGGTAAAATTTAATACACTAAAATATGCAAATCTTAAGTGTACATTTGCTAAGCTTTTGACAAATGCATTTGGGTGGGACAACCCAAGCCCTACTCAAGATAAAGAACATTACCATCACCCCAGAAAGTTTCTTCATGCCCTTTTGCAGTTAATAATCTGATCCCTACACCCACCCAATGCAACCACTGTTCTGATTAACCACTAATCAACACAGATCAGTTTTGCCCATTCATTCCAGAACTTCATATAAATGGCATCTTACAGTCTATACTCTCATGTAGAATATTTTTGTTCAGCATATTGATTTTGAGATTCATCCGTTTTTGTGTGTCAGTAGTTTGTTACTTTTTATTGCTGAGTGGTATTTCATTGTATGAACATACTACAGTTTGTTTATCAATGTTCCTGTTAGTGGATACCTGGGCTGTTTGTAGTTTGGGGCTGTTATGAATAAAAGTGCTTTGAATGTTCTTGTACAGGTCTTTTTGTGAACACGTTTTCATTTTTCCTGGGTCTAGGAGTAGAATTGTTGTGCCATAGGATTAATGTATGTTTAGGTTTGGGTTTTTTGGCAGCTGGCTGGTACAGGTATGGTTTAGTTTTCTGCTGGAACTTTTCCAAAATGGTCATACCATTTCACACACCCAGTGACATCATATGAGAGTTCTGGTTGCTCCACATCCTTGCCAATTTTGAAGTTCTCAGTCTTTTAAGTTATTTAACTTTATTAACCATTGTCGTTTGTAAATGATTGAAAGAAAAGTTATACCTATTAGGTTTTTGTTTTTCTTTGTCCTTTTTGAGACTGGCCGCACGGCACTCAGCCAGTGAGTGCACCGGCCATCCCTATATAGGATCCAAACCCGCAGCGGGAGCGCTGCTGCGCTCCCAGTGCCGCACTGTCCCGAGTGCGCCACGGGCTCAGCCCATACCTATTAGTTTTTATTACTCTCCTAGGGAAGAATTTTTAAAAATTATATAGTTTATTAGTTCTCTTCATTTTCTTTTAGCTTTTTATTTTTATATACATTCAGCCTTACAGAAAGTTGCCCTAGGCCACCCTTCAGCAGTTGATACTATTCACCAGTTTTTAATTTAAAATTTCTCTTCCTTCGGCAAATAAGAAACCATTTTCTCTTGGTCTTTCACCAGCTGCTCATCTTAGCTTCTTTGCAGGATTTTCATCCTTTGTGTACCCCTTACATGTAGTTGTTTCCAGTTCTAGCCTGGATCCCCTTTGTGTTTCTTTAACCTGTCTACTTTGGTCATATCTGACATTCTGCTGTCAGGTACTGCCCTTCAACAGCCCACTTTGTCAGTGTTGGTTGACTTGCTTTATTTTTTAATAATGTATTTGGATTTTTTAATTACAAAAAAGGCCTTTACCTCTTGTAGAAATTCAAACAGAGCAGAAATTTATAAAATTTCTAGTCCCACCGCCAACTTCCAAGCCATTCTTATTCCCCAGAAATAACCAGTGTTAATATTAGGTATATATCGGGCCGAGCCTGTGGCGCACTCGGGAGAGTGCAGCGCTGGGAGCGCAGCAGCGCTCCCGCCGCGGGTTTGGATCCTATATAGGGATGACCGGTGCGCTCACAGCGCTCATTGGCTGAGCGCGGTGCGGCCGGTCTCAAAAAAATAAATAAATAAAAAAGGACGAAAAAAAATATTAGGTATATATCTTTCCACATTTTTCTTCTATTCACATACAAATACATTCACATACATAAACACATATGTGCTCAGACATATTTATTTTTTTAAAACACTTATACAGTACATATTGTTTTATAGCTTGATTTTAACTTAATATAACATGTATTTCATGTCTGTATAGACAGAGCTGCCTGAAATTGATGCAGAGTATCACCATAATTTATTTAATAATTTCCCATTAATGGGTAATAAATAATGCTTCGGTAAACATTTCTTTACATATTATTTTTGCTAGTGTTTTGTTGGATAGATTATTAGAAGTAGGGTTGTACACATTTAAAATTTGTTAAATCCTGCCAGTTGCCCTTCAAAAAGATGGCACTTTTTTACTCTCCTGCTACTGTGGTGACAAGGACCTTCTCCCTTGCCAATACTAGATATTTATTAATCCTCTAACAGTTTCTAGTTTTTGCCAACTTAATAGGCAAACTCCATGTAGCGTGATACTGTCAGATCTGAGTAGTTCTTATCATAGGCCTATGACCATCTTCAATATTTTCTCAATCTCATTCCCCATTAGGTGACTTTTAGCTCTTAAACAAGGAAGATGCTTGGAGACATGATTTCTTTCCTATGTGTGTTTCTGCTGGCAGGAGAAACTTCTTAAATGTCAATTTATTCTTATGGCCAAAATGAAGAAAGCCTTGCATTTCCATGAGGTGGAAGTGAAGAATGCTACAAAGTGGAAGGTAATGTAGAAGTGGCGTTTCTTGCTCCTGAGGCCCTTTCGGTCTAGGGCTGCTCATGGGGTTTTACAGGGAAGAGCTTGCAGGGTGTCATTGGTTGTCAGGCTCCTTGCAGATAAGGTGATACGACAGAAGCATTTATCCCTACTGACCTGTGGCTTTGAGCAGTGTGAGCTCCACACACTTCATCTCCATATCTTTACTTTAAGGAAGTGCCTCCCTCCTTCCACTTTTTTCTAAATATACTCCCTAGGTTGGAGTTGGTTTGGAGTCCATGGGATTATGGAAAGAAACTGATGAGTTACCTTGCTTTCAGGGAGGCTAGTCTAGTTGAGAGGTATCATGCGAGCACATACACACTCCTAAAGATTTAACAAAACTAAACAGGTGTTCTGAGGGCTAAACTAAATAATAGATATGAAAGCGCATTTTAGTTTAAAAAGTATACAAAAAAGGCATTGTTGTCAGAGGTAGAGACTTAAATGTTACAAAGAATGAATGAATACTGTAATGACTAGTACAAAAATATCATGTAGGTGTAAATAAAGGCATAATGGAAATTTGTGGTGGGTGGGCCTGAGTTTTTCTGGATGAGTTGATTAGGATGGAAAGGACCATGGATTGTCGGGGAACCATGTGCAAGGAATTTAGGAAGAAGGGCCAGGTAGAAAAAGGACTGAGCAAATCTTATATCGCCATAGGAGAAGATAAAGAATCAGCGGATGAGAATCAGCACAGAGTTTTCGAAGCTGCACCACTTCCTGGCTGAAGAAGAGCAACTGTTTCTTCAGAGACTGAGCAAAGAAGAAGAAGAGACAAAGGAGAAACTGAAAGAGAACATGTCAAGTCTCAATCAAATGATCACTTCCTTGAAGAACCTCATCTCAGAGGTGGAGGAAAAGAGCCAGGCCTCTACCCTGGAGTTACTCCAGGTGAGGCAGGCATGGGAGGAACTAATCTCTGTCTCTATGGAGTTGTTAGGTAACATCACTGACTGAACTCCCTCTTGTCTTTAGAGCTGAATGTCTTTCCTGGTGAATGGCTTTAATAGAAGTCATGTCTTCTCTTTGTTGGTAATTGTGTTACTGCTATTGTTACATAGTTAGAGTCAAAGATACACCATTCAGAGAAAAATAATCTGAAATTTAGATATGCTAAGCTCAGGATCTGAAGCACATCTAAGGCTTTTCCATTCATCTTATTTGTACATTTATAATGTATTAAATATATTTAAGCTATACTTTTATCCTTACGTATTGCTTTGTGTTCCACAGATTTTGAGATATATTATTTTTATGTTGTCATAAGTAGCAGTAGATATTTGTTTTCGTCATTACACGGCAGTCGTTTTCAACCAGAGACGATTTTGATCACCTGGAGGACAATGTGGAGACATTTTTGGTGGCACAACTTGGGGGTGGTTAATAACTGGCATCTAGTGTGTACAGATGCTGCTAGACATCCTGTAATGCATAGCACACACCTCTCCCCAGCCCAAAATGTCAGTAGTGCCGAGGTTGAGAAACCCTGCTGTATAGTATGTTATTATATTAACATGCTAAACATATTATTCATTTTACTTTTGAGGGAAATTTGTATTATTTTTAGTTTTTAGTGTTACAAGAAAGTAGCTATGGATATGCATGAACATATCTCTGTGCACATTACTGTCAGTTCTATACCCATGAGAGCAATTCCAGGTCACAGGGCATGCATGTGTTCAGCTTTACTAGATGATTCCAAATTGTTTTCCAAGTTGGTTGTACCAGTTTGCAATATAAGTAGCAATGTGCGAGTTCTGGTTGCTTTCTGTCCTCACCAGTACTTAGAATTATCATCTCTCTAATTTTAGCCACCTTAAAGGTACGTAATGTTATCTCATGCCCTCAACCAGCATGCTTTCCCTCCTCCTGAAAGATAGATGGCATATCCCTGATAACTGTGAGAAATAACCTCACCTGTCCAATACCAAAGAATGGACATGGAGACACGAGGTACAGTGAAGCAAGACTTTAATGACAGTCTTGCAAGATGGGGTGTCTGTTTGGCAGGCACACAGGGAACCGTTACAGCAAGCAGTTTATTCTCTAGTGCACAAATCCCTTCCCCAGTTCCTCATTGGCTGAGTACTATGGGATGCACAATCTTCTCAGATGTTGCCCAAGATTTATTATCTCCTTGTAAGGAATTCCTTTGTCTGATGACTCAGGACAAGTTCACAAAAAAGGCCACCAAAACCCTGAGAAGGGAGAAGAACCAGGAAATGAAGAGAACAAAGGGGCTAGTGACTAACCACCATCTTGAGGAGTCTTCTCAAGAGTGACGTGCAGCTGCTGAGCTCTGCCCGTTCAGGGGCTGTCTGGGAACAGGTTGAGCCAGTTAAACACGCTTTGCTAAGCTATTCCTGAAAATGAATCACTTAGGCTATTTCCTTACAATAACTAGTGAGACTGAGTACTTTTTCATATAGTAATTAACCATTTTTTATAAAAGACAATTTAGATTTACAAAAAAATTGAGAAGGTAGTACAGATAGTTCTCATATCCTCCCTCACGCAGGTTCCCCTGTTATTAACATCTTACATTAGTATGGTTCATTTGTTATAATTAATGAACCAATATCGATACATTATTATTCATACATTGATACATAGTTTATTCATACCTTTTTAGTTTTTACCCAGTGTTCTTTTTGTTTTCCAGAATCCCATCTAGGAAACGACATTACATTTGTTTGTCATGTCTCCTCTTGGGACTGTTTCTCAGACTTTTCTTGTTTTTGATGATCTTGTAAGTTCTGGGGAGTGCTGGTCAAATACAGGATGCCCCTCTACAGTAAACTCTCTTTATCCACAGGGGATACATTCTAAGATCCCCCAGTAAATACCTGAAACCACAGATAGCATTGAGTCCTATGATTTTTCCTATACATACATACCTTATGATAAAGTTTAATTTATAAATTAGACACAGTAAGAGATAAACAATGAGAATAGAACAGTTACAAAAATATACTGTAATAAAAGTTATGTGAATGTGGTTTCTCTCTTTCTCTCAAAATATCTTATTGTACTGAACTTACCTTTCTTGTGATGATGTGAGAAGATACAATGTGTATGTGATGAGAAGAAGTGAGGTGAAGATGTGTAGGCACTGTGACGTAGCATTAGGCTATGATCGACCTGTATTCCCGAATGTGTGTAGCCATCCCTTACTTGCAGTAAATGGCTTGGTGTAACTTGTTTCACAGGATCCTTTGCTGAAGTCTTCCATAGGCTAAGTACACGTTGCTTTCTGGCACAACACGTTGCTATTGATTGGAACACAGTTCTCTTTGTGTCTTCCACCCACAAATTTAATGCCTTTTCCATCTTAATGGCACTTGTTACACACTGTGGGCCTAACTTTTGCAGTTTGAGGTGCGACACCAAAACTAGTAAAACTAGTATGAATATCTTTTCTCTTCCTCACAATTTCATGAATAAAAGATTCATTCTTACCATAGATCTTAGCAGCCTCAGCGTATAACTTTTTTTCTTTCCTTATTAAGTTGAGAACTTTCACCTTTTCACTTAAAGGAAATACTTCATGGCTTCTCTTTGGCATATCTGATTTGCCAGCATTACTAGTCTTGGGCTTTGAGGCCATAATTAAGTAAAATAAGGGTTACTTGAATACAAGCACTGCATTACTGCGATAGTCGATCTGAGAACTGAGATGCTACTGAGTGACCAATGGGTGGGTGGTGTATATAGGGTGGATATGCTGGGCAAGGGAATGATTCATGTCCCAGCATCATGGAGTGGGACGGCATGAGATTTCATCACACTACTCAGAACAGCATTCAGCTTAAAACTTATGCATTGTTTGTTTCTGGAATTTTTCATTTAATATTTTCAGACCACTGTTGACTACAGATTACTGAAACCAAAGAAAGTGAAACTGCGGAAAGTGAAACCATGGATAAAGGGGAACTGCTGTATTGGAATTTGTCTAGTACTTTTCTCATGATTAGACTGGGTTATAGGTTTGGCGGAGAAACTATTTTAAAAATACACTAGTGGCATTGGTTAGCTAATATTTTACTGAGAATTTTTGCATCTATGTTTTTAAATGAAATGGGTCTATAATTTTTTCTTATGTTTATTTCCTTTAGTGGCTTGAAGAACAAGGTTATACTAGTCTCTTAAAATCAGTTGGGAAAATTTTCTGTTTCTCTCCTTTCTGTCACAACTTAGGATAGGGGTTTTTTAGTTCTCTAAATTTCAGTAAAATTCACCTGTATAAAAAACTCTTTGGGCCCACACATTATAAAGGTGTCCATTGTGATTATAACTTAAAAGTAATCTTGTAAAGCAAATAAGAGGGAAGGAGAAGAGCAGAAGATTGAAGCTGGAGCCTGTCAAAGGACAAGCAAAGAAGGTGGCTCTGTGATTGAAAGATGGCAAAATAGGCAAAAAGCCAGGAGAGAGTTAACATCATAATGCCAAAGGAAAAAGAGTAGGGTTTCAAGAAGGGAATTGGTCAACATTGTCAGATAGTGCAGAGAGGGATCACATGAAAAAAAACGAGTAGATTATGTCAGTTCTTTGGCTTTGGCAACAGGAGATCATATGTGACATTAGCAAAAGCAACTAATAGAAAACTCCTGCTTACAAAGTTGTGTCCTGGGTCTCAAGGGGAAGGTCCATACTTACTTCTTTCTTCTTTTCACAGAATCCAAAAGATGTGTTGACCAGGTAAGAGCTTCTACTCTCATATGGGAGCCTGACTGGAATGGTAAAGATATAGGCTGAGCAGAGGAGAAACAAGTTTTGGGCTCCATAGATCAGTCTGGGCACACCCTTTGGGGTCTGTGGAGGAGGAATTCCACTATTCACTTCTGTGAGGAGGAACACAAGCACCACTTTACTGCAATAGTTGATATGATACCTGAGATGCTACCAAGTGACCAATGGGTGGTGGCATAAAAGTGATCTGAGCTTTGGCCTTGGAACCTTCAGGTGAGAGTTTGCGATCTTGGCTGCCCTAGTTGTCTTCTAAGAAGAGTGGCCTTCTGTCCTTTTCTTAGGAGTGAGAACCAGGATGTGAACTATTCCTTTGAAGTTCTGAACGTGAGGACAGTGTGCCAGATACCAATGATGAAGGAAATTCTGAAGCGATTCCAAGGTGAGCAGAATCTCTAGGACTTGGAGCTCCCTAGAAACTTTTCATGTAAGAGAATAAATGGTGAGAGAAGTCTGGAAAGGGAAGAGGAAACAGAGCATGAAGCTAACAGGAGTATCAGGAAAAATGGTAATAGTAAATGGATGTATACTTCATTCAAGAAACATTTATTTAACACACATGGTGTTACAAGGTACAAATGATACAGAAAGAAAGAGACCTTTTTGTAAGAGTTCATAAGCAAACTGGAGAGACAGACACATACCACTTATTGTAATACAGTATGAGCCAATGTTTATCAGTGGTAGGAGTAAAACGTTACAGAAGTTAAGAGGAAGGGCTCTGTTGGCAATGAGGTAGGGAAGTTTTCACAGCAGAGGTGACAGTTCTGGAATTTGAGGGATTAGTAGGAGTTTTCCCAGTAGAAAATCAGGGTGTACCCATGTACAGAAAATGGAGGGAAATTATCCAGTGTCGCTAAGTCATAAGGTGCACTGCAGGGAAAGGTAGGGACTGAGGTTGAGAAGATGAGTATAGGACAGACTGAAAATAAACTCATTGGATCTCTAGGGAGGTACCAAGGCATGTGCATGTAGTAAAAGCTGTGCTGACAAATCTCGTGCACATCCCTGATTAAGAATCTTATGTTGTGGATGCTCACTTCCAGCCAAAATGGAGTAATGGGGACTAGATTTACTTTCCTGTCTGACAACTGAGAAAACAAACAAAAAACCAAGAGACAGTACATGAAACAAGAACATGAAACACTGGGCATCGGGCAGTAAAGGACAGTGATCCCTGAGAAATGTGAAACAAATGAGGTGAGCCCTGTGATTGCTCTAGCCTATAGCATTCAGAGAGTTTCCAGGCCATCTCAGGGAAGAGTAACTGAGGGAAAGCCAGGCAGACTTGTTGAGTTGAAGGACAGAGCTGAGAGTCCAGGTAGAACAAAGCAGTGAGAGTTTGCAGAGTACTGGACGGAGTATTGGAGAGGAGAGAGCTGTACAGAGAACCCTGGTAATCTGCAGAGGGACTCCCTGAGTATTCAGCAGAGTACTGATCAGCGCATGCCTGTGAACTACCTGAGGCTGAAGAGACTTCTAAAATGATTGGAAGGAACAGTTCCTGGTTCTCACACAGGGCCAGGAACAGTGCCTGTTCCTGTTAGCAATATTAGAAAACTCTTAATTCATGGGGCACTGGGTAGAGTACTTAAGAATATCTTGCCTCATTAGTGAATGATACTTAGTCCTAGACTGAGCACTACTCTATACCCACCTTACAAATCATGAAAGCAAGACTCAAAAGGACCAGACTGTTTTCAAGTAACTTAAATGCATCCCAGGTCAAAGCTTAAGAAAATTAATAGGAATAAAAAACAAACACCCAACAGTGTAAATTCACAGTGTCTGGCATCCAATCAAATATTATCAGACATGCAAAAAGATAGGTCATAATGAGAGTAATCAATTAAAACTGACCCGGAATTGACATGGATGTTAGGAAAAGCATGGAAGGACATTAAAACACTTATTATAACTGTATTCTGTAAAGAGGCATAGAGAGACATGGAAGGTATTAAAAATACCCAGACTGGGCCGGCCCAGTGGCACACTGCTACAGTGCGCCACTTGGGAGTGCGGCGGCGCTCCCGCCGAGGGTTTGGATCCCACATACAGACCGGTTCCTGCTCACTGGCTGAGCGAGGTGCGGGTGCAACACCGAGGGTTGCGATCCCGTTGCCGGTCCTGGTCCGGTACGGGCGCGACACTGAGGGTTGCGATCCGTTGCCGGACACGAAAAAAAAAAAAAATACCCAGATTGAACTTCTAGAGATGAAAACTATGGTGACTGAGGTGAACAGTGCTCTGGATGGGATTAATAGTGGATTAGACATGGCAAAATAAAAATTAATGAACTTGAAAACAGAGCAGTAGAAACTATGCAAAATAAAACACACAGAAAAAAAGAGTTTAAAAAATGAAAAGAGCATCAGTGACCTGTGGGATAACTTCATGCAGCCTTATCTATAGTGACTAAAGTCCCTGAAGGTGATGAGTAGAGATGAAGATGGGACAAGAAAAATATTTGAAGAAATAACAGCCAAAGATTTTCCAAATTTAACAAAAACTGTAAGTCACAGATCCAAGAAGCTCAACAAAACCTAAGCACAAGAAATATGAAGAAAAGTCCACGAAGGTATATCATAATCAGCTTGCTCAAAACTAGCAATAAAAATAAAATCTTAAATGCAATGAGAAAAAAAGAGCATGCTGCTTACAGTGGAACAAAAACAAAGTTTACGTTACATTTCTCATTGGAAACAATGCAGGTGAGCAAAATCTTTAAAGTCCTGAAAGGAAAAACATAACCTAGAGTTCTATTACTGGCAAAAATATCTTTCAAAAACAAAGATGAAATAAAGAAGTTCGCAGGTATAGAAAAGCTGAAAGAGTTTATTAACAGTAGACCAGCACTTCAAAAAATGTGAAATGAAGTCCTTCAAGCAGAAGGAAAGTGGTAGCAGATGAAATCTGTATCTATACAAAGGAATAAATTAGTACCAGAAGTGGTAAATGACATGAACAAATACACATTTTTGTTGTAATTTAAATCTCTTTAAAAAGTAATTGTGGTAGTAAATTTATTTGTCAGATACACTGGGCCACAGGGTGCCCAGACATTTCGTCAAAGATTATTCTGGATGTTTTTGTGAGAATGTTTTTGGATGAGATTAACATTTAAATCAGTAGACTTGGGGAAGGCAGATTCCCTTCCATACAGTGGGTGGGCTTCATCCAATTAGTTGAAGACCTGAGTAGGCTGACAAAAGGCTGACCCTTCCCCAGAGCAAGAGGGAAGTCTGTCTGCAACTGACTCTCTTGGACTTCACCTGCAATATTGGCCATTCCTGCCTGAGGGCCTTTGAGCTGGGTCATAGGCTCTCTCTGAGTCTTCAGTCTGCCATCCCACACAGCAGATGTGAACTTTCCAGTTACCATAATCATTTGAGCCAATACGTTATAATTAATCTCATGCACACACATATGTACATATACACATACATACGGCAATAAACTTCTTATTGGGTCTGTTTCTTTGGAGAACCCTGATTTATACAGTAATTGACTATTCAAACAGACAAAACAGTGTTTTGTGGGGTTTGTAACATATTTATAAGTAAAATTCATGAAAACAATAGTGTGAAGATTGGGAGAAAAGAAATGGAAGTATATTATTGTACGCTTCTACTGTATGTGAAGTGGTGTAATATCACTTGAAAGTAAACTGATCAATTAAAGGTGTATACTGTAAACCTTAAGTCAACCATTAGAGTAAAACAGTTATAGCTAATTAATCAACAAAGGAAAGAAAGTGGAATCATAAAAAATCATTAACCAAAAAGGCAGAAAAAGAGGAAAAAAAGAACAAATAAGACAAATAGAAAAGAAATAGCAAGATAGCAGATATAAACCTAAGCGTAGTAATAATCACATTAAATATAAATGGTCTGAATACCATAATCAAAAGGCAGAGATTGGTTGGATTGGATTAAAAAGTAAGACCCAGCTATGTGCTATTAGAAACACATGAAATATAAAGACCCATATATGTTCAAAGCAAAAGAATGTAAAAAGATAATTATGTTAATACTAATCAAAAGAGCTCTGGAATAGCTACATTAGTATTAAAGTAGGTTTCAGAGCAAAGACTATTACCAGAAATAAAGAAGGTCGTTTCCTAATGATAAAGAGGTCAATTCATTAAGAGGACATAATTCTAAACATTTATGGACCTAGCAACAGAACTTCAAAATAGATTTTTTAAAAGTAAGAACTTTGAGGAGAAATTGACAAATCCATAATTATAGTTGGAGTTTTCACTACTTTCTTTCAATAATTTTTAGAACAATAGGCAGCAAATGAGCAAGGATATAGATAGATCAAGGTGGACCATAAAATAATTCTCAATAAGTTCAAAAGGATTCAAGTCATAAAAAGTGTACTCTGACAACAATAACATTAGAATTGAGTGGCAAAAATATCCCTGGAAAATCCCCAAATGTTAGAAAACTAAATAACACACTTCTCAATAACCCATGCATTAAAGAAGTCAAAAGGGAAGTTAGAATATACTTTGAATTGAATGGAAAGGAAAACAACATGTCAGAATTTGTGGGATGCAGCTAAAGCAGTATTTAATGAGAAATTTATGCTACTAACTATCCATATTAGAAAGAAGAAAGTTCTCAAATCAGTGACGTCTGCTTCCACCTTAAGGCATTAGAAAAAGAAGAACATGTAAAGGCCAAAGTAAATAGAAGAATAGAAATAATAAAAATCGGCAGAAATTATTACAATAGAATACAGAAAAACAATGGAAAAACCAGTAAAACCAAAAGCTGGTGCTTTGAGAGTATCAAGAAAATTGACATACCTTTAATCAGATGATCAGGAAAAAAGAGAAGGCACACATTACTGACATCAGGAATGAGAGAAGTGACATCATTACAGATTCTACAGATATTAAAAGGATAATAGAATACTATGAGCAGCTTTATGCCAATAAATTCGACAACATAGATGAACAAATTTCTTAAAAAAAAACAAATTACTAAAGCTGACTCATGAAGACATGGATAACTGGAATAACCTTATTTCTATTAAAGAAATTGGTGTTATAGTTAAAAACCTTCCCAAATGGCTCCATTGGTGAATTCAGCAAACATTTAAAAAATAAATACCAATTCTACATGAACTCTTATAAAAAACTGAAGAGGACGGGACATTTCCCAATTCTTTTTATTAGGCCAACAGTATCATGATACCAAAATCAGACGAAGATATTACAAGAGAAAAGAACTATAGATCAACGTCTCTCATGAACGTAGATACAGAAATTCTAAAGAAAATTTTAGCAGATTGAATTGAACAATGTATTATTAATAGGATAGCACACAATAATCACAACCAAGTGGGATTTATCCCAGAAGAGCAGGATTGGCTTAACAATTGAAAATCAATGTAATTCACCATATTAGTAAACTAAAAAAGGAAAACCATATGATCATCTCAGTTGATGCAGGAAAAGCATTTGTCAAAATCCAACATCCATTCCTTATTAAAAACAAAAAACTCAACAAACTAGAGAGACATGGAGAGTCTGGGAGGGAGGGGAATTTGGAAGCAGGGAGGCCAGGAAGGAAGTTATTGACACAATTAAGGTGAGAGATGTTGAAGGTTGGAGTGAAGGCAGTGACAATGGGAATGAAGAGGAGGAAAAGAACCTGAGTGATATTTCAGAGCTAGAATTGATAGGTCTTGGTGTCTAGTTAGCCATAGAGGGTCAGGAGAATCAAAAATAAACTCAGGATTTTGAAGCATGAGTGCTCAGGTAATGGTAATGCTCTGGCACCTTAGAGAATATAGAAGACAAGATGTCTGCATGTGAGAGGATTAGTCTCAAGTGGGTAGAAGAGAGCATAGGAAAATGAGTTCAGTTTTGAATTATCTGTTGGGGACTTGTGGAGATGCCTACTAAACAACTAGAACTTGTGAAGAGGGACCTTATTAATCTCTCTTCTGTGTGACATCTGTGTGTAGCCGTACGAAGAATCTGTAAGTCAGCAACTTTGGTTATGGTCCTGATTTAAGAAGTCAGAATTTGTTAATGTCTCCAAATCTTATGCTGATTGTGAAGAGTTGGGGTCATGAAATAATAAGCTCCCTGTTTTCTAGGTCTTAGTCTTTTAGAGCAGAAGGGAAATGAGGATTTCAGGTTGCTAAATGCACCTAACGAGCATTTGGGAGACGGTGAGAAGTCTTATCCCTAACAGTATTTAGGAGGAGAAAGATGAAACCAAAGCTGGAGAAAAGATGGGCATTTCTGGAGGAGGGTTGATGGTAAACTGTTGCATTATTTACCTTAGCTCTCATTTTCTCTGCAGTGGCTGTTAACCTAGCTGAAGACACAGCTCATCCTAAACTTGTCATCTCCCAGGAAGGGAGATATGTGAAAAATGGAGCATCAGCCGGTTCTTTGCCAGTATTTTCTACAGCATGGAACTACTTTAGTGGATGGAGAAATCCTCAGAAGACCACACATGTTGAAGAGAGATTTCAACACTTACCCTGTGTTCTGGGAAAAAACGTTTTCACTTCAGGGAAACATTACTGGGAAGTTGAGAGCAAAGATAACCTGGAGATTGCTGTGGGGGTGTGTCGGGAGGACGTCATGGGGATTACTGATAGTTCAAAAATATCACCCCATGTGGGAATCTGGGCTATTTATTGGAGTTCAGCTGGCTATCGGCCTCTAACAAGCCTCCCTGTAATTCCTACCAATCAAGAGTCACCTCTTCACCGGGTGGGGGTTTATCTGGATCATGGGGCTGGGAATGTCTCATTCTATAGTGCTGTGGATGGAGTCCACCTACACACTTTTTCTTGTTCTTTCGTCTCACGCCTCCGACCATTTTTCTGGTTGAGTCCATTAGCATATTTAGTCCTCCCACCAGTGCCTGATGGGAAGTGAGGTTACTTTTTCCCTGCCCAAGAATCCCTCCATATACCCCAGCCCAGGGACATACATTCTTTGGCCCTCTTCTTTTGCTTTATATGTATCCCGGGTAGTCCATCAGTACTGTCCATTCAGATTCCAATTTCATGTTCTGTTCAGGTCCCTGCATATTCTGTGCATACACAACAGATATGGCAGTCCTCATTGGTTGTCTTCCTGGTAGTGAATCCCCCAATTCCTGCCACCTTTTCTGGGTCTTCCTAATTGAACTGTTTGGTATTCCCCATGCATGTACTTCAGAAGAGGCAGTCCCATGTTAGCTAACTCTGGCCAATGGAGATGGGATGGGAAATTTTCCAAGGTGCTTTTGGGGGATGTCTTTTTAGATTTTTAAAAGATGTTTGGGAAGATATAGCCCCACTTCTGATGTTAGCAGCTCAGGAGAACACAGTAACAGTGGAAAGGGAAAAGAAACACAAGCTTTGTTGCCATCATTAAACATTCGGATGTCTCTAATCCCAAACTTCTTGTTATATGAGATAATTACTCCCTTATTATATAAGGCAATTTTAGTTGCATTTGGTTACTTACAGTCTGAAGTCCCGTAATGGGTACTATAGGCATATAGCATGGACATCCCATGGTATATGCTTATCTAATTTTTTCTTAAATTTGACAAATTTATAGAATCCTTTTCTGTCCAGTCATGCAATGCCTGTCTTTTTTTTTTTTTTTTTTTTTTTTTGGTGGCTGGCTGGTACAGGGATCTGAACCCACCTCTTCTTTCTAGTAAATACTGATATTCCCCACTTGTCTGGACCAGAAAGTTGAGGAAATCTTTACTTACTCTGCCATGCTGCTCTCCTGACTATGTCTCTGCCCTCACCTGTTCACTGTGGTGTACATTTGTCAGAGTCATATATTGTATGTACAGGGTTGTTAATGGAAATTGAACTCTTTGTACAAATGACAAAACTGAAACCTTTAGAGTAATTAGCTCATTATTGCTTAGCTGACAAATGGGGGTATTGGGATTAAAATCTAGATTTGTCTGAGATGAAAGCCCATGCTCGTTTCTACTCTTTTCTTTGTAAGCATTTATTGAATGCTGGTTGTGGGTCAGCATCATCTTTATTTCACCTTTTTGTTTTATGGTTTTTATCCTGTGTGTGTTTTATTCACTTTACATTTCTGAGATTGTACATAGAATTGTGACAATTACTGGATAGTTATTTTTTTAATCTGATTTTTTCTCTTTGGTTATAAAAGTCATGTGTACTTATTGTAGAGAATTTGGAACATGTTCCCCATCCTATGTCCCAGCCTATCCTTCCTTGTCTTTCTGTTCAACCTGAGCAACCCCCTCATTCAACAATTTCTTCTGAGTTCTTAATTCTCCGGGATACTTTCTGTTATGGTTTGAATTGTGTTCCCCAAAAAGATATGTTGAAGTTCTATCTGTGAATGTTACTTTATTTGGAAATAGGATCTTTGTGAATGTAATCAAGTTAAGATGAGTTTTTTGAGTGGACCCTAATCCAGTATGACTAGTATCCTAATAAGAGAGAAGTTTGTATATACACACACATGCACATACACAGACAGGAAACTGCTATGTGAAGACACTGAGGGAAGATGGCTATGGGAGACTGAGGCAGAGATTGGAGTTATGCTGCCTCAAGCCAGGGAATTCCTGAGGCTATTATAGGTGAGAGAGGCCAGGAAGAATCCTTCCCAGAAGCCTCCAAAGGAGCATGGCCCTGCCAACATCTTGATTTCTGACCTGCAGCCTCCAAAACTATGAGACAATAAATTTGTATTTATGCCATCCAGTTGGTGGTAATTTTTTATGGTAGCCCCAGGAGATGAATAAATTTGCCCATCAGGACTTCCTCCAGAACCTGCCTTGCTAATTTCCAATCCTTGGAAAACTCATCAGTACCTTTCTTCCACTCTTCCTTCTGGACTGTTCCAAGGTTGATTGGATCTACTACAAATTCTTGCTCTCTGACTTCAAGTGGGCTTGGTGAACACTGTTTTTTTATCCCTTGACTTCCCTTTAAATCTTTGGTGGTCCCAAAGTTGAGCAAAATATAGAGATGAATCTAAACAAAACATTTTATTTGGGAATCAGAATTGCAATTCAGGGCATTTCAGATCCACACAGATCAGGGTGGTCTTTGGTGTATGTCCAAAGAACAAAGAAATGTTTGGGAGTTTTATTAGAGAAGTGCTATGTATTGTTTTGGAAGAAAGCTCATTGACAGCAAGTTTTGGGGAGTTGACAAGCTCTGATTGGTGAGTGATGGACAATAGGTAAAACTAATCTTTGAGCCACAGCAGTTTGTTTTAGCAGTAACTAGGTAAAACTGGCCCTAGGGTTATAGCAGATAATTTTCAGCAGCTGTGCTTGTGAAAAATTTGGGGGGCAGATGCTATGTGCCATGAGTGTTTTTTTCTCCTTGGCCCCTCAACTCTGATCTAGTTTGAGTATGACAAGAATGACCCCATTTATATAATTAACTAACACATTTCCCCGTTTTGATCAAGACCTTTCCCTGAAAGCATTGCTGATGAATCATCTTGAAGTTGGGCTCAATTGTCCCTCAGTGCTGGGATGGACCTGTCCCAGGTTGTCTCTGTCCCATCAGAGGAGGTGGAGATGGGTGGGGGTGTGAGGGTGGGGAGGAGTATGGGAGTATATGTCAGGGAAGAGTCATACTTGAGCAGCAAAGAGGCAGGAAGGAAAAATTCCCGCAGGGCAGATTTATCTAGAGTTCAGCATCAGGTGTTACCTTATTAGTCCCACAGGTGTTAGTAATCATCTTGGGCATTGGGCTAACATTATCCTATTGGAAGAACTGGCTTTACAAAGATTACACAGGCAACAAGAACATAGTTTAAATATCATAATATAAAAAATAATCAGCAACAGTATAATAAATTCAGTTTCTACAATGGTTTTCAATCAAGAGCCCAAGCTTAAGGGCAACCAGGCACATAAATCAAAAGACCATGGGGGAACTGGATGAGACCTGTTGTAGCTATTGAGTAGAATTTTATGACTGGGTTGAATTAAAGCAGACAGTGTCAACTCTATAAAAGGGACCACTAGTACAATCTGAATAAAAGGTATTGCTAGGGGTATTGGCAGTTACCCACTAGGTGGACAAAAGAATTTTTTTAAGGTTAGGTTTTGTCAGGTTACCTATAGTAGTTACTGATGATGAAATTTTAATTACAGCATCATTTTGCCGAGTGAAAAATGTAGGCATTAGGAGGGGTAAGAGCCTCATTATAATATGAAGTCTTATTTCAATGGTCTTGGGAAGAGCTGTACAGCATGAAGCTGTCAACTTCTTGTTCTGGTTCATAGTTTGAATGTCTCTAATTATGACCTCAGGTGGTTTAGTGAACTTTTTGTGGGGCCCATACATCAGGCATGAGGCTTGTCTTTTGAAATTTATATGAAATCGTTTAGTTTTAGTTTATAGGGCTTTAGGAAAGAGCAACTTTTGTTCTTAATAGTTTCATGGAAAAAAATCAGATTGGAGGAACCTAGAAGAATTTAGTATCCAGTTCATTTACAGGTAGATAATAAAAATTTAAAAACAATACACAGGCTACAATCTAATGCCAGGTGTATTATAGACATCCCAATATTTACCAAAGAAAGATACAGTAAGACTAATTTGCACAATAAATTTAGTTTTATCATAGTGGCCTGATTATTTACATAAGTGTAGCAAGAACAGTGATCAAATTCCAGATTGGGTTTTTTTTAGAAAATGTTGAGGATAGGGAGCCGAATCAAAGTAGCTTTAGCTTTTATCTGTAGTACCTGTAAAAAATTTAAAATATGATAGCTTAGTCAAATCTTAATAATTGACATTTTAAATTGCATCCTGTTATAAGGAAAACAAGTTTTTATAGAACTTATATAAATAACCATATTGTTATAAAATAAAAATACTCATGAATAGTTTTTGAATTCTGAAGTGATCAAGTAGGAAGAAAAAGCAAATATTTTCATCTTTGTTCATTAAAAGTATACTAAACTGTTGTAAACTATATGAGAGAAAGTTTTTTAATAATCTGAAAACATTGTTTAAGAACCAACAATATTTTAAATAAAAGTCATAGAAATTATAATTTTTATCAGTTGTTTAATCTTATGTAATTAATTTTTGTGTGTTTATCTTGATGAGCAGTTTTATGAACCTATCAGTTTTTTCTGGAAATTTTTAGTTACTTCATTAATCTTAAAGTTATTAAAAAACCTGCATTTAAGAAAGCTTGTTAGAGTCTTTTTTATGAATGTGATTACAGACTCCTTTAAAGAAGAATCAGCACTGAAGATTAAAAACTTAGAATAACCTTGGTTAAAATCTGATGAAAATTCACCAATTGACAAGGAAATTTAATTATTTTTATTGTATACAGCATTTTAAGACAACAATCAGAATCGTGACTGATAGGATCACACCAAATCATTAAACTAATAAATTTTATATAATCCTTAAAACATTTACATTAATAACATTTACATTAATATAATTTTTAAAAATTAGTATCACATTATTATTTGGTTGATTTTATTAAGTAAGCCAAATGAGACAATTTTTTTTTAAGGCTTTGGGGCCCAACTGGAAAATCCCAGCATCAATTTTAGGTCAAAAAGACCTAAATTAGAATTTGATTTTGGTGAAATTTGTCAAAGATATTAAAAGGTTTAAAATATTTAATTAAAATAGAATCACATCATTAATAGATAGTATTCATTAATTAGAGTGATAATCAAAAACTTCAAAAGTAATACAGAAAAGTTACAGAATGTAATAAAAACAACTTTCGAAGTTCAATTTTTCTAAATAATCAAAAAAACCTAATAAAGACAGTATAAAGCACAAGAAACTATATTAAAACACAAAATCTTTGTTTCTTAGACTGATGGCTTAAAATGTAAAGAAAAGCCTTCATTAGTATGACTGCTTCTCTTTATGGGAAGCCTGTTTAGATAACTTGGAAATCAAGCCTCATGAAAAGGTACTTGAATTTAATTAGATATGGGAAGAGGCGTGTGTAAGGTTATGAATGTACACCATATTATAGAAGAATAATGTAAGCAAGAAAACCAGTACCTTGAGCAGGAGCATGCATAGCTTTTAGACAAAGTAAAAGCACGTGAAATTGTCTGGTTATATAGAACAAATTAAACATCAAGAAAAAGCCAAGAGCACAGAATAAGTCTATACTAGAGAAAAAAGGCCTGTCCTAGGCTTTTAAGACAAACATTCTCAGCACTAGGCCACGATAGTAGCTTTCATTAAGTAAAAGATGTACCTTTTTTAAAGAGAGTAAGAAAGAAGAACAGAAGGAATAAAGCATGGCCTGTAAATCACATGTAGTGAGATGGAGAAAAAGCTGAACGCTTGAGATGTGAATCTGGAAAGACTTAAGAGAAAAATTCTACTGTGAGAAGTGAAATGATCATTTAAAATGAAGACACCACTTCCAACATGAAATTAGGTAGAAACTGTAAAACAAGGAAAAAGCCGTTAATTTGGAATATGGTTGAAAACAGATTTCAGAATTAAAATCAAAACCTCTAGTAATTTTTTTTACTAAGAGGTATCAGCATTTAAAGAAAACCTTGTTTTAAACATAGAGGACTAGACTCCAGTCTTGTATCAGTGCATCCTTGACACCAATTCTCAATTTTTTGAAAAACTTATAAACAATTCCTTTCCAATCCCAGCCAATCCGGTGAAGCATGAAACTGTCTTATAAGATCCATTCTTCATAAACCCTCACATGAACGAAAATTAATTTTTATATATTTTGTGCATACGGTAACATATTAATTAGAACTTTTAATTTTTGATAACTTTAATTTTTAGTAAAAACCCAGGATATAAGTAATTTCAAACTATTGTATATCAACATCTCATAAATATGTTTTATTAATAAACCCAAATATCTTTTGTCTTTGTATAAAATTTAAGAAGCTAAAAGTAAACAAAATTGAATCTATGTTTAGTAATTAATGTTTTAGTACTTTATTTAGAAACAAAATTGAATCTATGTTTAGTAATTAATGTTTGAGTATTTTATTTTATAAATATTTACTATTTAACAATATAACTTTAAGATTTTAAATGGTGTGAAAAGTTTATTTATAACCATTTATCTCATTTACCTAATTTATTTATTTTTAATAATTATATGTAGATTAATCATAAAAACATATTAGACAAAGCTAGTCATCATTGTAAGTTACTTTTTTTGCTAACCGTTTATATAGCCTGTGAATATCAGATGTTCACCTAAAGTTAAATATGTAGGTATGTTGCCAATAACTCAGAAGATAAAGCTGTTTTTATTAAACCAACAATATTAATTAGTCTTGCTTATCAAAGAGTTACACAAATATTATTCTGTTTTTAAGCTCAGTT